AGAAATTCAAAAGAAAATTAAAAGAATAACAAGAAAATGGGAAAAAGGAGAATACGAAGAAATACTTAAAAAGTATGAAGATAAAGAAAATGTATAATATTCTCCAAGAAGTATATTCAATAAGAAAGAAGAAAACAATAAAGAAAAACAAAGAAGACAACAAATATAAAACAAAATAAAAGATGAAAATATTAAAATAAATGAAAAATGAATCAAAAACAAAAACAAAAAACAAAGAAAAGAAATAAAAGTACAATAATAATAAATTAAAAATAACATAAACAAAAAACACAAGATAAAGAAGAAGAATATAACAAAGAAGAAATTAACATTCTTCAAAATAAAATTAAAGAAATAGAAGAAACTATTAAAGAACTTCAAACAAAAAAGAAAGAAGAAGAACGAACCATTTCAAATGAAATAATTCAAAAAAAAAAAACACAAAATACAAACAAATAAGAGAATGAAAAAAATTAAAACATAAATAAATAAGATTCAAACTACATGTAATGAAATAAGAAAACTCTAAATTAAAATAATAAAATATTTCATTACAATTAAAAATAAATTAAATATAAAATAGAAATAATACAGAAATATGAAATAAAGATGAAATCACCAACATTATTTGAGTTAGTTATGAGAGGTTGAATAAATACGAGATGTAGAGGAGTGTTGATATGTTGAAGAAGAACATAAGAGATAAATAAAATCAAATTTCTGTATATCAAAAAAGTAGAATTGAAAATTATGAGATTGAAGAAACAACAAAAGAAGAATTAGACAATACATAAAGAGAAAATGAAGAACAAAATCAATTAATATCAAATCATCATCAATTTATTATTTATTTTTTATTTCAGAAATTGAGAAGAAGAAAACAATGACTCTAGTGATAAATACACAACAAATAGTGAGAACATCATCATCTGGGACAATACAAATGAACAAAACTACAACTATGAAAAAGACAATTCTGGAAATAGAAGAAGAAGAGAGCAAAACACTGAGTATCAAAAAACAAGAAATGATAATCAATCAAGAAGAGAAGAAAACACAATAAATCAAACAAATAGAATTTTAATTGATGTGTTGTATTGTTTTGCAATTAATTTGTTAAATAAGAAATTAAATAAGAAATTAAGAAATGAACAAATAGAAAGCATAATAAAAATAATAAATATTAATGTAAATAATGAGAAAGAATATATTAACATTATTAAAAAGTCACATAAAATAAAAGAAACAACTAAAAGATATATTAAAATGAAAGTGAACTCAATCATAGAAGGGAAAGTAGAGTGTAATCCAATAATAAAAAATATTATCATAAAAAAATAACACTACTGATATTGATGATGAATATCTTAACTCTATCATCATTCAAGTTAAAGAAATGAAAATAGATAAATGTGTAAATATTAATTACTACTGGAAAATGAAAGAATCAGATAAATTAATAAGAGAAATAAATAATAAATGGGTATGGTCAGGAGAATAGAAAATCTACAAGAAGATATGAAAATAATTTCAATGTGTATGTATTATTATCTCAAAATAAATTTAAATGAGATAAATTTGATGAAATAAAAGAAATCCTAAGGAAAATAAATAGATTAGAAGATCTAATCAATGGAATAGTACAGAATAAAATACATCATGAGATTAAATGAACAAGATGGAGATGAAATTAAAAAGAAAGCACAAGAAAGAATAAAGTACCTAAAATATATGATGACGATGATTAAAGAAAGAATTAAATTTAATAAGAATGAAAGGGTCAGAATCAATACAAATAAAATTATGTTTGACTCTAATAACAAAATTAAAATAAAGAAGACCCACAAAATGAAATATACCCAAATAACGATATTATATTTGAAATCGTTATATGAAACACAGATGATATTAAATAAAGAACATTTGAAAATAAATCAAATCACCTCGTGGAATGAAAGATATAGAAATTATGATATGTCATCATCACATTGGATGATTTAAATTTAATTATGATGAAAATAAGTAATTGGAAAGCACCAGGTATTGACACTATATATGGGTATTATTGGAAGAGAATGTCATCATCAAGAGAGTCCATTCTTAATATCTTCAATGAATGGTTAAACTTCAATGAAAACATCCCTCTAGACATGGTAAGTGGAAGAACTATACTAATCCACAAAGGAGGTGATATGAACGATGTCACTAATTACCATCATATCAGTTGTACAAATGTAATAATGAAAGTATTTACCTCCATATTAAAAGAGAAGATTCATAATAGAATTAACATGAATAGTGAATCACTAAAAATTAGTAAAAATCAATTGGGATGTAAACTGCAATCTCTTGCTGATAAAGAAGGATTAATTAACAGTTATATGTTAAAGCAGCAGAAAGAAGAGAAATACCCAAAATATGTAGAGTCATATTATGAAATTAAGAAAGCATATGAATCAGTAAATCATGAATGGGTAATAGAAGCATTAAAATATTTTAATGTAGAGGGTGTCATCATAGACATTGTAGAAAGTATGATGAACAGATTGAAGATATTCATAGGATATAAATATAATGAATATCTAGGATGTATTAAATTGATGAATTTTACAATGTGATTCATTATCATTTCTACTCTTCATCATCAAAATGAATATAATTTCTCAAATCATAGAAGAGAAGTTCACAAAAGCAAACAATACATTATATATGGATGAATTGAGAATAATGACACAAAGTAATGAAGAAATGGGAACAATCCACAATGAAATTAAAGAAATAATAAGTGGAATAGGGATGGAAATGAATGAAAAGAAATCAGGAATGGTATTAAAGAACATCAATAAAATACCAGACGGAATGCAAAACATCCCAATAATTGAAGGAGAGGACTTGTATAAATATTTAGGAGTATGGCAGTCCGATGAAATTAATGATACCTTCAATTGTAAAATCATCAAATAAAAGATGATGAAGAAAATGGAAGAGATAAATACTGATGAAAGTAGTAATAGAAGATATATTACAAGAATTAATACTGAAGTAATACCAATCTTCAGATATTCAGCATCAGTAGTAAATTGGAAGGTAACTGACCTAGATAGAATGGATTTGGAGATAAGAAAATATTTAAGAAAGGCAAAATACATTGGTACCGGTAACTCCAAAGACCGTCTATATGTCATATAAATGAAATTGGTGAAGGATTAATGAGCCTAATGGACGAATATGTTATTGAATTAGTTAGAACAGTAATATACTATTGTACAAGAATGAAATAAGAAATAACATAATAGATAGATGGTATTCCAAGAAAGGAATATGGAACAGAATTAAAAAAGCACTAAGTCATAAAATCCCTGAAACGAAAATAGAAGAAATAATAAATGAAGGGATTGAAAATAAAAAAGAAGTAGTATTAAAAATAAAGAAAATAATGAACGACCAATACATCAAAAAATGGAAATCAAACAAGTGGACATTTTAGAAGATGATTCGAGTCAAAATTTGTAGATAAAATTACTACAATAAATTCATGGAAGTACATCAATATAAAGAAAAATTCATTTCTTCAATTAAATAAAATACAAGATGGAGTAATATTTAGTGTGTACAGGAAAGATAAAATATTAAAAAATGAAAGATTAAAATACTTCCCACTTTGTAAGTACAAGATATCAACAGTAGAACACATTCTACTATCTTGTATTTGTCATAAAAATTCACAAATGGAAAAACATGACAATATTAGCATTATCATTGGGTTAATAAGAAAATACACATGAAATAAACAATATAAAAATAAACATATGAAACAATGTTCCAATACAATGACATCACTATGATATTGAACAAATAAATAATATTAAAAAGTGAATAACAATATCATAAAATACCATATATATGTAATAAATAAAAAGAATAAAATTAGTCTAATATTTGATATGATTATTATTAAAGATCATAGAATAGAATATATTTGAAGAAAAGAAATAAGTATAAAGAAAAAGAAAATAGAATAAAGAAAATAAGAGATGATAAAATTATAATAGTAATTTCAATAAATTAATTAGTAAATGTAGAAAATATTAAATTAATTAAACAATTAAAAAATGAAATTAACATCATAAAAGAAGTTAAAAAATAAATGTAATAAAAAATATGATAGATGTTATAGAATATTGGTTCTGTTATAATAGATTATGCTATATAGAACTAGTGAAATAATTTAAGAATAGAATTAAAATCAAATATTAGTGAAATAATAAAAATAATTTAATTAATAGTTAATTTATTTATTTATTATATAGAATGTTGAAAAGAAATGATAATATTAAATAAAAATAAATTTTCATTGTAGTATTAATATAGTATATTGGTAATTTATTATTTTATGTATTAATATGATATTTAATATGTAATAAATTTAAAATCAATTTTGATATAATAATTTGATAAATGAAAATGAAAAATGTTTAAAAGAAAGATTGAAAATAAAGAGATAGAATAGAAATAAAAAAAGAAATGAATTTAAAGAATAAATTAAAGAATTCTTATATTTTATTTTCATTAGATATTAAATTTGATTTTAAATTAATATAAATAGATTTGAATTTATTTAATAAACTTATACTTTGTATAATATTTAAATTTCTTTAAAATGTTATTATTTACTTTCATTTCTTTATTTTATAAATTATTTAAATTTTAATTTAATTTTCTTTAAAGAAAAGAAATGAATAAAATGAACGAAAAAAAAAATCAATTGCAAACATAAGGATAAACTGATTCATATGATGCTTTATCATCTAATATTCCTGTATGTGTATATTTTCCTAAATTTTTAAATGTTGTTGCTCCAATATTCTTACAAAATTCTAATGAATTTAAATTTACTGTTTCATCTCCATCTCCATATAATAGTTTACTATCACTATCATAACTTTCATTTTCCATTTCTACTCCTTTAATACTTTCATATCCTGATGATATCATACAATGCATTTTAATAGGGAATGGTAATTTATAATTATATTTTTCATATAATTCTTTCATTCCATGTTGAACTGTATGAAGATAATTTTCTTGAAATTCTTTATCATCTAATGTTTTAATTAATTCTTCTATTTGATCTGCATTATATGTTTTTCCTGTTGATTTAATTTTCATTAAGATTTCTTCTCCAAATATTTTTGTTCCTCCTATTGGTAATAATAATGCAACTGTTTCTGTTCTTCTTGCAAATGGTCTTAATTTGTCTCCACTAATAGGAAGTCCAAGATTATTTCCTGGAAATGCTGCTGCAATTGCTTTTCCTGATCCAAGGAATGGTGTTGACATTGCAATCCAATTATCAATATATTTATCTGCAAATTCTTTTCCTACATAATCTAAAAATTTATAAAACATTAATCCTCCCATTGAATGGGAGATAACAACTACTTTCCCATATTTATTATATGTATTAATTATTAATTCTTTTGTATCTTCAAACCAATTTCTTTTATGTTTATATTCTCCATATCTATAATATCTCCAATCATATGATGCCCCTACCATATCATCTCCATCTACATATCCTAATTTCTTAAATTTCTTAATTAAATCATGAAAACATTTTGCAAATATTGAAACGGGCCAATTAGGATCAATCTCATCACATGCATATGTACTTCCAAATTTCGGTGAAATAATATTAACTCCTTCTATATCAATTTGCTCTTTACTTGTTGAATTCCACATCGGTGTTAAATATCCTAATGAACATTCATTCTTCAGTGGTCTAACATTCTTTAATGCAACCCAAAGTCTTTCATATTCTACTTGTGTATCACATTTCTCTGGAAGTGGTGTTTTACTGATATCTTTTATATTAATATCCCCTTCTAACATAGACGCAAGAATCCCTGGAATAAATACTATCGGTTTTTTAGCTGGGCATTCCTTTCCTAATGAAATCACCCATAAAATAACGAACAAAAAATATCTTGTTTTCATTTCTTTCAATGAATTATTGAGTTCCAATGAAGAAATAAATTCTTTTTTCATGTGTTTTTGAAAATTCTCTAAAGATACTTTTTCTAAATAATTGAATTTTTTAGTAACACTAAAAAAAAGTCAATTTATAAATATATCCACAATTTGATTTTATGATTATTGAGAAGTGATTATTTTAGTTATTTCAATATGCCCTACTTCTATCATAGTGTTTTTTTCAACCTGTAAACACTGCCAGAGTTTCCACTGAATTCTTTGGTATCATTAAATAAAATAAAGACTATAACTTTGAATTTGAACTTTTCTTAAGTTTTTTATTTTATAAAAAAAGAAAAAGACAGAATAAAATTGAAGTAATTAAATAGTATTTTAAAAAGAAAGAGAAATTAGTAAAGAAAAAGAAGTAAAAATATATTAGATTTTTGAGAGAACAATGTAATCTATTCTATACAAATGAATATAATGCTTTTTATCATCTTTATTTAGAACTAAGAAATTCCATGTTTCAGGTGAATCATTTGAACATAAAGGAAGACAAATATCACTAATAATATGACCAGAAGAATCAGAAGTAAAAGTAATAGCTGTTAATATACGCATTTCAACATGACGATTTGTAATAATAAAGATATTTTCATGAGTAGTAAGAAAAATAAAATCAAACATTGCACAAGTTATTGCCTTCATTGAAATAATAATATCAACATCCATAAACGAAGTAGTTAAATAAATTTCACCAATTTCATTAATACAACTAAGTGAACTGTCATTAAAAATAACATAAGTAATTGAAGTTCCACCAGTAACAAATTTAATATTTTGTGATAATATAATATCAAATTGTAATGTTCTTTCTTTCCAACGAATTAACCTTTTATTTTCTATTCCAAAAACACAATCATTAGCAGTAAAAATATTAAAATGACCTTTTATTTTATCAATAATTATTCCATCAAAATTACAAATAAGAATTTCAGTTTCTGTTCCAATGACAATAAAATTTGAAAGTAAATGAACACTTTGAACATAATCACATTTAATAACATGTTTTATATTTCCTGTAATTATAATATTTTTCATTCCTTTCTTTCCAAAAATAATACCATCATCAAATATAATACAAATGTCATCTATTCTTCCTTTATATAATTGAATAAAATTTCCTCCTTTTATATGACGCTCAAGACAACTTTTTATTGTATTCGAATCAATAAAATAAATCATTTCATTTAATAATTCAACTTGTATTTCTTCATCTCCATTATAAATTTCTCCAATAAATAAAGGATCTTTAATAGTACCTTTAATACCTTCAAAAACGTTTATTAATTTATTAAAATCGTAAGATACTTTTCTTGGTTTTTCCTTTCTAAAATTCATAAAAGTAGAGGAAATCCATTTATTAAGATATTTTGATATTCTTGGAGATTCTAATAATAATTGTAAATGTTGTACACATTGTCTTGGAGATTCTGCAAATTCTTTTGGAATTTCTACATTTTTTAATGAGTCTATTAAAAAGAACCATTCTGAAGGGAAATTAGATTCTCTTAAATCTAATGACAAAACTTCCTTTTTTATTAAACATTCAGAAAATATTGGAAATACTTTATTTGAATAATATAATTCAAATGCATTTTGTTTAAAGGTACTACATACTTTTGGAAAATAGTTATAATTTTCTACTTCATTAATATATTGTAAATATTTAAAATTACTTAATTCACCATCTTGCCATTGTTTTGAAATATTTATTCTACTAGGTAAAAGAGATTTTGAATGTGGACTAATTGAATTACTACGAGAAAGAGAAGCAGATAAACTTTTTAAAATAGAACCTTTATGAACTAATTTTATTTTCGATTTTTTAGGAGTGACAGGAATAAAAACAACTTCTTCAAAATAAATTGATTGAATTTTATCTAATTCTTTTTGATGTTCATTAATATGATATGAAATTATATCATTAGAAATACATTTGAATGTAAAGTTATTAAAAATATTATTTAATTGATTATAATATTCTTGATTTATAGATTGAATTGAAGATAAATGAAATAAAGTAATTTCTTTTAAGGGTTGAATAGAAGGATGAGTAGTTGTAAAGAAAGAATGAATAGAATAAATATACCAAACAAAAAATGATAATGAAATTTGATGAGGAGCAAATGGAAGAATAAAATTAATAAAAGAAAATAATAATTCAAAATCATTTTTGTGAATGTTATTAAATAATACTAACATATTAATATGAGAAATAAACAAATGAATAAATAAAGTATAAACAGAATAATATTCTTTTAATTTAGAGAAATGTAACCATTCATTAGTTAACCATTTAAATGAAATATTTGATATATAATTATTAATTAATTTATATAATTCATTAATAAAAGGTAAATCAACATTTGTTCCATAATTAATTTTATTAGAAATAATTGATAAAATAATTCCAATATTAATATCATAATTTCCATTAGTAATAAAAATTTCTAAAAGAGATAGTAAGAGTTGAATAAATTGTTTATTATCAGGTAATAATAATCTTAAAATATCTATTATTTGTTTTATTGTTGTATTTGTTATTTTCATAAGATGATAAAATACTTTTAAAACATATTTCATTTCAATATCATCAATATATTCTACTAATATTTTTGATACAATATCTATCCATGGTGAAATGGATGATAATAAATGATATATATTATGTGTTGGTTTACAAAATGATATATCTTTAAATATCTTTATTATTATTTCCTTTTGAATTTGAGTAAATGGTGGTTCAAATGATTCAAAAAGTAAAGGTAAAATTGGTTTATAAGTTAATGCATTTAGTTCTTCTTGAAATTGTTGATCATTTAATGTTGGAACTTCAAATTCAAATTGAGGTTCTTTATTGTATGATAAATATAAGCAAGTTTGATAAATTTTCCATGAATAATTAATAACTTCAAATGGACCATTTCCACCAAGTCTTATCCAAATCATTAAACAATAAGAAGCAACAAGATCATTTATTGATTTAATTTTAGATTTAAAAACATCAATAAAAGAAAGATATTTTAAATTCCATTTTAAAGGTTCTAATTGAAGAACTTTCCATAAAATATGATAAATAATCCAATTATCACTTTTAATAAAAGAGAAACATTGTTCTATTATATTATTTAATAATGTGTTTGGAATTAAATCTATTAAATATTGAAATAAAAGAATTTTTGTTTTAACTTCCATATTTCCCATAAATATTAATACAATTTCTTTTGCTGTAATAACTTGTTCAATTTGAATTGATTGAATAATTTTTGGAGTAAAAATATTAGTAAATTCTTTTAAGAAAATAAGTTGTTGGTTTAAAGTTAATTTAGAAGGAAGTGAAAAAAGTCTAACTAAAGCGTGATGAATATTGTCATTGTTTAAAGTCATATTAAGAATAGAACATACCAGTTTAATATGTTCATTAATAATAGAATCATTTCCTTTTTGAATAACAACTTCTAATTGATCAAATATAAAAGTAAAAAAATGACGATTTAAACACCATTCATTAACTTTTATATCTTTAACCATTAATCCAAATAATAATTTAATAACGTTTGTAATATTTGATGGTTTAATTAAAGATAAAAGATGAATACATTTTGTTAAATAATCGTCTTCAATAAATAAATCAGAAAATTTACATGTTGCAATTTCCATAATTGGATAAAATAAATAATCACTAAAAACATCTAATATTTCTATTTGTTTAAATGGTGTTTTATTATTTAATTTATCAAATTTTTTTAAAATATTTCCTTCATTTTTTAATGGACTTTTAGTTACTCCAACATTTAGAACTAATCGTGGAATAATATTGTTTATTATTTGTCTATTAAATTCTATTTCATAATCAAACCAATCAATATTATTAATATCATTAAATTCATATACATCAAATATCCATTGAAACCCAGTAATTTTACCAATTAAAGAAGTTCCTGGAAGACCTTTAATATAACCTAAATAAAGAAGAATAGTTTCTTTAAACAATGGATAATTGATAGGAAATACTTGTTGTTGATTATTAAGTTGAACAATAAACCTATTATTATTATGATAAATATTTAATGAATACCATTGATTTTTTTGTATAATAAATTGTGTATCATATTCTCTTGTAAATGAAATCCCTGAATATAATTGTTGTGTTCTTTTTCCAGTGGTTTCACATTTAATAACTAAATGTTTATTTGAACCTTCAATAGCACAAGTTAATTTATACATCGTTGCATTAATTGAAAAAATTACTGGAAATGAATCATCTGTCATTGTTTCAATAAAAAAATTTGTTTTAATTGCATATGAATATTCTGGAAATATTGGCAATTGAATAACAAGTGAAATTCCAGTAGTCATACCATTTAATTGATAATAACTTATTGGTTCATTATTAATACTTTCAATTAAATATCCTGTTAAATAAGAACTTTGAATTCTATTTAATTTTTCATATAATTTAAATATTAATTCCATTGTTTCACTATTTAAATAATATTGAAGTAATTGTACAATAATTCTAATAACAATTTTTGCTATTTCATCATTATTTATTTGAGGTACTTTCTCTATAAAAAATAATAAAATTTCTTTTTTTAAATATTCAATATTTATTGAAATTTTCATTAATTTCTCTAGTATTTCAATTCCTTCTTTTTTCGCTAAATTTTCTTTTATTATTTCTATCCAATTCTCTTTTATTATTTCTATCCAATTCTCTTTTAATTGATAATAATAACTGTTAATTGGAATATCTTTATTGTATTCATTTATACACAGTAAATTTATTATCTGTGTTGGCTCTAATTTATTCATACTTTTCTTTATTTTTAAGTTTATCTTATTTTTTACAACCAAAAATGAATTTAAAAAGAAGAAAGAAAAGAATACAATCAAAAAGAAGTTAACTATTACTTATTATTTATTTGTTTTAATTTGTTTTTACTCGTTTTATATTTGTTTTTTTTGAGACAACAAATTTTTAATAAAATAAAAATTTTTGATATAAAAAATTATTTTTTTAAAACGTAAAAAAATTTCAATGACATTGTGTATTAGAATTTATATTCACTCTGAGTGATAGATATGAAATATAAAATAATCTAATAAACTAAATAAAGCAAAGACCCCTCCTATAATTCCGCAGATACTTGTCAATAAATGTCCAAATGAATTTTTTTCTTCAAAATATAATACCTCAATTGATGAAATGTCATATATAACAAATACTCCAGGAATTCCTTGTTCAGGTGATTTTAAATTACCAGGTCGATAATGTTCAGTAACACTATAACCATTTGTATTAATTATCCTATTATCAAGTGAGGTGTATGTCATAGGAACTACTTGAACGAAATATTGATACATTGAATTATTTGTTCTATCAACTTTAACAATTCCATCCATTGGATTAACCATTCCTGGAAATGATTCTCCAAATGACAAAAAATTCCATGTATGAGTTAAGTTGATTGCTCCTGAAATCCAATCAACTGAATGAATATGTTCTTTTGTTAATTGTTGACTACTTCCTGGTGCAATATGGAAATTACCACTGGCTCTATTAACAAAAACAGTTCCAGAAATTCTACATCCTTCTCC